TCTGCTGGAGAAGGAGGGGGCAATCTCCTCCTGTACCAGTCAGATCTGATTTGATGGTACACATAAAAATAATACAATAAAAATTTTAAAAAAATACATAAATTTAAAGGCCAATGTGTGCCTAATCAAAGCCATGGTCTTTTCAATTACTTCCTGTTCATGTGAAAGTTGAACAATGAATAAGGATGATAGAAGAAGAATTTTGAATTGTGGTGTTGGAGGAATATTGAATATGTATGGATGGCTAAAAGAACGAACAAATCTGTCTTGGAGGAAGTACAACCAGGGTACTCCTCAGAGGCAAGGATGGTAAAACACTTGGGCATGTTGTCAGAAGGGGTTTGTCCTTGGGAAAAGGTATCATGCTTTTTGATAACATAAAGGAAAACATAACATAAAGGGACAATGAAAGAGAGGAAGACTGTCTACAAGAAGGATTAACACAGTGACTGTAACAATGGGCCAGAGCAAGCTGGAGATCAGGAGGATAGCGCAGGACAGGTTTGTGGACTTGATGGCACCTAACAACTACCTCCTTGTTGACTTTAATAGAAGTTGCTGAGTTGAAAGTCAAAAGTCTTTCAAAGATATTAGAAGTAGAAATCCTGTCTCTTGCTCTCTTTGTTTTGTTATCAAAGCAAACAGTATGAATCTGCGTTATGCAGATGATACAACCTGCTTGCTGAAACTGAGGAGGACCTGAAGCACTTGCTGCAGAAGGTCAAGGACTACAGCCTTTACTATGGATTGAAGCTCAACATCAAGATAACAAAGATTCTTACCACTGAGCTGATTGGCAGCATCATGATAAATGGTGATAGAATTGAGATTGTGAACAGCTTTAGTTTGCTTGGATCCACAATCAACACTCTTGGTACCAGCAGCCAGAAAATTAAAAGTTGAATTGCTTCCGGGAAGCCTGTTGTCAGAGACCTCTCCCCAGAGTACTAAAAAGCAATGATGTAAGTCTGGAAACTAAGGTGTGCCTGATCCAGGACATAGTCTTTGCAATTACTTTCTATGTATAAGAAAGCTGAACAATGACTAGGGATGATAGAAGGAGAATTGATGTCTTTGAACTATGGTGCTGGAGAAGAGAACTGAATATACTATGGACTTCTAGGAGAACAAACAGGTTCATCCTAGAGAAGGTGAAACCCCACTGCTCCTTGGAAGCAAGGATTCTGAAGCTTCGTCTGACAAACTTTGGATATGTTACAAGGAGGGACCAGTCCTTGGAGAGAGATGTCATGCTTGGGAGGGTAGAGAGACAGT